GCAGACAGAGAATGGACTTGAGGACACGGGGAGGGGTGACGATGTGAGAGAGTGGCATGGACTTATATATACTACCAAATGTAAAATAGGTAGCTAGTGGGAAGCAGCCACATAGCACAGGGAGATCAGCTAGGTGCTTTGTGACCACCTAGAGGGGTGGGATAGGGAGTGTGGGAGGGAGACGCAAGAGGGAGGGGATGTGGGGATATATGTATACGTATAGCTGGTTCACTTTGTTATAAAGCAGAAACTAACACACCATTGTAAAGCAATTATACTCCAATAAAGTTGTTTTAAAAAAAGTGAAAAGAATAGGGCATTCTGTGGAGGGTTCGTACATAGTTTAAATATGCTAATGTTTGCATAGAACTAAAAGAGCCATTGCACCATTGTAAGAGCTGACTGAATCTAGGTTGAATTTTAAAAATATTCTTAAGATATATAAGAACATTTTAAATACCAGGCCTGTAACAGGCATGCAGGTTTCTTATGTTTCTATCAAAATGATATACAAGACGCAAAAATTAAGAACTCGATGCTGGCGCCCCCTAGCGGGTCTTCAGGCTAACGCTTCGTTTTTTTGTTGCTGTATTTTGGTTTTTTGCGGTACGCGGGCCTCTCACTGTTGCGGCCTCTCCCGATGCGGAGCACAGGCTCCGGACGCGCAGGCTCAGCGGCCATGGCTCACGGGCCCAGCCGCTCCGCGGCATGTGGGATCCTCCCAGACCGGGGCACGAACCCGCGTCCACTGCATCGGCAGGCGGACTCTCAACCACTGTGCCATCAGGGAAGCCCTAACGTTTTGTTTTAATCTGAGTGGGAACCGCAGGTCTGACCCCGTAAGTAGGGCGGTGACCACCTACACGTCCCACTCACAGCGGGATCGGGGCTCTCCGGGCGAGGGGCTCCCGGTAACCCCACGTCCTTGGCGGCGCAGCTGGTCCCGCTCCGGAGACGTGGTCGTGCAGATCCCAAGTGTTTCATGTTGAGACAGCCCGGAGTGGCCTTGTTTAGAAGCCCTGTAGCTTCAGCAACAAGGCTAAATAATCAAGTGGGCTATTGTGGACGGATCTAAATCTGTGTGAACTGACATTAGGAAAGAATATATTTGGTTGTATCTGTTCATATAACACATCCATGAGGCTCGCCCACGTGTCAGTGATGGAGCGGGGTGGGGTCAGGGAGAGAGGTATGAGGTCTCCCAGGTGTGGAATTCAGAGGGCGCTGGGCGCACTGACATTGTGCACGTGGAACAGAAGATGAAGAGCAGACTTAGGCAGATATGGGGATGTGCTTTCTGCGCAGCCAAGGCAGGGTAAGCCCTTACCCGGGCGGAGGCCGTCTCACTGTGCGTTTCAGCTGTGTAACTATTACAGCCAATAGACCCAAAAGTGTAACGACTCACGTGGTAGGAATTAGTTCATCTTCCATGAAACAGGTGAAGCTGATTCCAGCTCAGCAGGGAGGTGCTTTAAAATACTGTGTATTAATTTTGAAATGTGAGGGAGCAGATCAGGAGGCTCCTGCCATTGAAAAGATATTTCATCACAGTTCCCAGGAGGAGGGGGCATGCATGCCACCCACCAGGGCCATGTAGGGAAGCACCAGAGACAGAAAGAAGGAGATGGAGTGAGGGGGAGATGGAAGCCTTTACTGGGGTTTCCACAAGAAGGAATGGGCAGGAAAGGGTAAGCAGGCATGGGATTGGCTGGATTAATGATTTCAGCAGGTTCTGGGGTGGAGGGGGCGTCCCTGGTTGTCATGTGCTTGGCCCTAGCGTGACAAGGGCAGGTGGATCGTGGCCCAGACTGTGGACCCCCATAAAGGAGGGGGTGCGGTGTGGACTCTGGGTTGACTGGTTTGTATTTGATAAGTGCACCCCAGGAAGAGGGTTCTTGCTCAGGAGCTGGGGCAGGGTGGGGGGCAGTGAGGGAGGAGGCGGGAGGACAATGCAAGTGACTCAGGCATATTATCGGGTCATCCAGGAAAAGGTGTGTCCAGTGTCAACCTTAAAATTAAATGTCGTTATTTTACTGGCAAAATGAGTTTATTTAGGGAATGGCAGAGGAATTGCGATTCAGGACATTCAAACTGTGGCAAACCACAGTCAAGTCCAGAGAACAAGGAAGAGGAATGTTACTTTACAGAGAAAAAAGAGGAAGCTGGAAGGGGCTGCTTTGACTGAAAGTCCCTTGGAGAAAACCAAGAGGTCAGGGTGGTGGTGGTTTCTCATTGGCTGGGCCTGTTGCTGTTTCTCCTTGGCTAGGTTGTGACTGTTTCTCATTGGCTGGGCTGAGGCTGTTTTCTCATTGGCTGAGTTGTTGCTGTTTCTCATTAGCTAAGTTGTGACTGTTTCTCATTGGCTGGGCTGAGGCTGTTTTCTCATTGGCTGAGTTGTTGCTGTTTCTCATTGGCTAGGCTGTGACTGTTTCTCATTGGCTGGTATGAGGCTGTTTTCTCATTGGCTGAGTTGTTGCTGTTTCTCGTTAGCTGAGCTGGTGCTGTTTCTCATTGGCTAGGTTGTGACTGTTTCTCATTGGCTAGCCTGTTGCTCTTTTCATTGGCTGGGCCGTTGCTGTTTTTCATTGGCTGGGCTATTGCTGGGCGAGGAGAAAATCATCCTTCTGAAAATCAAGCTTCTTCCTGCCCAGGAATGTAAAGTAAGCTGCAGCAGAGGGTAGGAGTGAGAGAGCTCCCCTTTAGGGCTTCCCAACTCCGTCTTAAATTAGGTTTCCCTTTATTAATTTTCACACTAGCACATGTATGTGTGACACATGTTAAAGCCTCGACTTTATAGAAAGCTGAAATATGACTAATACAAGGGGTACAGCAGGCTGTATCCTATAGGGTCATCCTGGGAACCAGGTGCCACACTCAGCGCGTGGTTCCAGGGTCACCCAGCGCATCCATATCCATCGGCAGAAGGGAGGAGCCGTGAGGAGCTTGTGTGGGAGATTCAAGGGCCAGGCCTGGAAGAGGCTCCGTCCGTCCAGCTCACGTGCCACTGTGCACTTCATCCCAGGACACACATAACTGCAGGGCGGCTGGGGAGATCATCTCGCTGGGAGCCCAGGAAGGGAGGACACGGCGCTGGTGAGCAGCCACAGTCCTGTCACACAGGGACCACGTGTCTGTCACTTTGAGCACCGGGTGGGGGTGGGGGGGTTAACGGGTTGTGGGCGCGTCTCCAGTCTCCACTGCTTCCGCCCCGACCTCGCCTTGCGTAGAGGTTCTAGGGACACAAGAAATAGACGCTCAAACATTGATCATTTCACAAGCTAGTGGAAGAAGGAAACACTCCTGCGAGAACGTACTTAGAATTCGGAGTGAGGCATTCAAGCCCAGAGGAGCCCGCAAGCGGAGGTGGTGCTGAGGACCGACACCCACTCAGGTAGACGGAATAACAGCCCCAAAGATGTCCGCACCCGACGCCCTGGAGCCAACTGCTGTGTTACCTTAGGTGCAAAAAGGGTCTTTGCAGGTGTGATCGGGTTAAGGATCTTGAGGGGGGGAATGAGCTTGTATGTTCCAGGTGGACCCAATGTAATCACCAGGGTCCTTGTAAGAGGGAGGAGGCAGGTGAGAGAGAGGGAGGGAGGTGCGACCACATAAGCAGGAGTCCTAGTCAGAGGGAGGATTTGCAGAGGCTACAGTTCTTGAAGGCGGAGGAAGGGGCCCCGAGCCGAGGAATGCAGACGGCCCCCAGACGCTGCTAAAGGTAAAGGAATGGGTTCTGCCCTGGAGCCTTCAGAAGGAGCGCAGCCCTGCTGCGCCCTGATTTTAGCCCAGTTTAACATGTTAGCCTCTGAGCTCCTGAACTGTAGGATAATAAGTTGTGTTGTTTGGTGCCCCTATGTGAGTGGTTCGTTACAGCAGCAACTGCAAGCTTGTTGGGATGAACAGCCTCCAATCCCAAACCTGAAGGGCATTAGCCAGGTGACGGGGTGAAGGTGAGATCAAGGACAGTGTCCTACCGCTGGTGGGTCCTCTTGTGTTTGGAGAATGCATGGCGTCCAGTGGGGATGAACTGGAGTAGGGATGGGAAATGGGGAGCTGCCTGTTCCTCTCGGTGGACCTAAAGCCTGAGGGACCCTCCGTGTGCAGTCGTGGTCTCATCAACTCCCTCGCCCACTCCACACGTGTCCGTGTGTGTGGGTGTGTGCATAAGTATATGCGTTTGTACAGTGCATGCGTGCATTCGTGGGCGTACATATGGCGGGGGGGATGGGAGCTGTATCAGGCGGGGCAGGCCTGCGCCTTCACCCGGACAGAAGTCCCCTCAGACATCTCCCTCTCTCATCCCTGAGACACACACTTGAATCAGAAAACACAGATGCCCTTTTTGTCGTTGCCCTCGCTAAGTTTTGGGTGACTGTGGAGGCAGAGACTGGGACCTAGAACCTGTGTACCCCAGCGCTACATGCAGGGCTGATGCAGTTGGGCCTGTGAGGACATTTATTGATGAACAAGGCGGAGCATGATCCAGAAAACAGGGTATCAGCAATAAGCTGCATAAGTATAGCCCAGATTCAAGATCAACAACTGAACTCTAGGAACGTTTGTACAGTCAGCTGACAAAACAAAACGGATCTCTGGGGGCAGTGGAGGATTCACAGGACGTGTCTGGACTCAGCTGGGCGACTGTAGGACCCTAGCTGGGTCTCTAGAAACAGCCGAGAGACTGCAGCTGGGTCTCTGGAAACAGCCAAGCACTATAGCTGGTTCTCTGGAAACAGCCAAGGGACCACAGCTGGGTCTCTGAAACAAGTGCTACACATTCTCTCCAAGGAGCTAGTTGATTGTGGGAGGGGCCACATGTTGAATGTATCTCCTACAAGTTGATTGGGGGGTCTCAGGACTCCAGATTTCGCCAGCAGGAGAACTGACTGGATGACTTCAGGAAGGGACGATTCCACAGGGAAACCCTCCAAATGTCCACTGCAGGCTTTTGCAAGAGTGCCCTCCTGTGTCTTTAGTGCAGAGGCCAGGTGGGCCTGGGGTCAGTTTCTGGCAAGGGCTGCATACATGCTGGACTTGGCTGTGTGCTCTCTGGACAGTGGGAACTGTGTGAGGCCCCTTCGTGTGAGGGCCGGGTGGTCCAGCTGGGCATATATCACCTCCTGGGGGCCTCTTGCAGCAGGGGCCTGAGGAGAGAGACTCAGGGTGAGTATGGGTGGCTGAGGTGAGGGAGGGGCTGCGGGAGGGGAAGACTTTGGTCACCAGACTCCAGGTGCCCCCCCAGATCCCACCTCCTGAATCGCCGTTGTGTGGTCCCCTCCCACAGAGAAGCAAGGTTGGTCTGTGTGACCAGTAGAATATGGCAGAGTGAGGGCCACCTGCAGGGGAGGCCACAGAGGACATTGTGCCTTCTGTTCCTCCCTCTTTGGGGTCCCTCCCGCTGGGGGAGGCCGGCCGCCATGGCGAAGCCCGTGTGGTGGGGAAATGGGGCTCCTGCCCACAGCCAGGGGACTGGGCCTTCGTGGAAGTGGATCTTCCAGCCTCAGTTGAGCCTCCGATGAATGCAGCCCTGGTTGGCATCTTGACAGCGACATCAGGACAGACCATGAGCCACCACCACCCAGCTGATCCGATTCCTAATTCCTGGCCCAGGAAACTGAGATGATTTTGTTAAGCTGCTAATTTCAGGGGCTTTGGTACCCAGCGGGAGGTGACTAATGCAAGCACTTACTGAGGTGTCCACTTCCCCACTCTTCTCAGGAAGTCTGTCGACAGTGGCCAGATCTGGCAGGGGGAGGACAAGGGGTCAGTTCTCTGGCGTGGACCTCAGGGGGCAAGTACGCCTGACCTCATAGCGTCATATTTGGCCTCCCACCCCATCTGGAGCATTCTAGAACGCTCCCGAACGCCCCCTACCACATTGCTTCCTGATGGCACTGAATCCCCGCTTCCCCCCTCCCAGACCTGTCCCCCAGCCTTGTCTTTACCTGGTGTCCCATCTGCGACGTCAATAGCTGGGCTGACCCTGAGGGGAAAGAACACGTGAGCCCTCGGGGCTGCCTGGGGGCAGGGGGTTGGGAGCCCGGGGGTCACTCCCAGGAGCCTCACCTCTCCTGGGGCCTCTGCTCCTCACCTTTGCTTCTGGGGGGCCCTGGGGACAGTCGGGTGTGAATTCAGAAGAGAAGGCTTCTTCCCAGCACCCCAAACAGCCTGCCCGGGTCACCCCACCCTGTCCCTGAGACCTACCCCGTTTTCTCTCGTGCCGACGATGGAGGAGGAAAAGGCCCAGGAGAAGGAGACAAAGGAGGAAGGCCACAGGGACCCCAATGAGAATATAAACATGCTCTGTCGGCAAGCCTGCGGGAGGTGGGAGGGTGGAATCCGATTACCAGCAGCATGCATTTGTCGAGCACCTGCACACGCCCACCACGCGCCGGGTGCTTGTCATGTCCCCACTTACACATAAATCTCTCATGCCCAATAATCCTGTGACATGATCTCCACTTTACAAAACCGAGTCTGAGCGCTGGAGTCCTCTGTCCACAGGGCACTGGTCAAGCTGGGATATGACAGGCACCAAAGCCCCTTCTTTCCCCCTTTCCCCAAAGAGCACTACCGGGCTCGTGCTTCTGCGTCCCCCTCGCCCATCAGGACGGTCATTTTCCTGCGGATGCATCTGTGTCTCCGAGGAGTGAGGAGGGTCTGGGCCAGAGGCCTGATCTGGACAGAGAAGCCTCTGAGTCCCCCATCCCCACCTCCAAGGGGTCTCCTCCCAGGGCCCCGACCTGCTCCCTCTAGAACAGCCCCATGGACCTTTCTGTGAGGATGGTTACCACCACGGTAGTCACGCGGGACAATTTTCACTGAAATTTAGGTTAACTAAAGTTAAAAGTCAGATCGCCAGCTGCACTAGCCACTGCGCTACCCCTGGCTAATGACACCCTCCCGGGACGACGCAGATACACAGCATCTCTTTCCTGCAGGAGGCTGTGTGGGACAGCGCTGCTCTCCGCACTTTGTGCACCTTCACAGAGGCGGAAACCCAGTAGGAATCGAGAGTGGGAAGCTCTGCCTGCTCACCTCCTTCAGGGTTCCCACCCCAAACACAAGAGTCCCCATCTCTGATCTCTTCTGCTTTTCGCAGCAATCCCTGATGGGGCGGAACTGCTCTTCTGTGAGTGAAGAAGCCAAGAGCCGATGTCCTCAAGCTGCCTGACGCCCAGCCTTTAGCAGGTGAGAGGATGCAGCGCCCGCCACGAGCTGCACTCCACGCGTGCGCGTTCCGTCCATCACCTCCTTTCCATCTCCTAAGTGCTGTGCTCAGCATGGCTCATTTTACAGGTGGTCCAACTGAGGTCTTGGGGGCTGGTACACCCACAAGGTCGGAGCCCTTCATCCCCTCTTCTGGTCAGCGCCCCCTCCCTCCCACTGCTCCAGAAGTTGAGTCCTCAACATCCTTTAAAATAGAAAATTTCATTTCTTGGAGCATCCTTTCCTTAACACTGTGTCCTTGGTGCAGGATCCACGACCCCATCCTGCGTTTTAACGCCATTGCTGCCTGAGCTTCCCCTGATGACATTTACTGCGATTTAGAATAGCATATATGTTATACACGTACAAATAATATATAGCAATATGTTTACATCTATAATGTGTATTACATATTATATAAATATGCTTAATGCTTAAATAATAAATATATTTTAAATTATGTGTTTTAACTTACATATGTATAATTTAATTTATATGAATAATTTAAATTATACATAATTCTATACATAAAAATTATATCAATTGTACGTATTTAATATATATTATGGTACACATTTTAATATTTACATATACAGATTAAAGTAACACATCATACATGATAACATAATATATAACACACATTACTCATGTAACAATATAGTAATATATATTATATTGTATTATATATTTAATAGTGTAACTATATTCTAATTTACTTAAATTATAGATCTGAAATTTTACATTGTAAGTTATATGTTTATATTTTTATATGCCCATATATACTTATATACATCCCTATTATTCATTCTAATGAATTCTCCCGCTAAAGTTTGGGAAGCCAGGGACCCTTTCTCCTCATTCACCATGTGCATCAGTCCCACGGCAGGAGGGTGTCTGGTGCACACGAGGTGAGAAGAAAATATTTCCTCGGTATTAATAAGATTAGCACTTCTCCAGGTTGTCCCATTTGGCAGCATATTTAAGCGGGTGTCCTGTGTAAGTGAACTCCTGTGTCCCCAAAGCAGCACGGCGGAGTCGGTGCCCCAGGAGGGTGTGGAGGGGGTCAAAGTGTCCCCAGTGGGCGCTGACTCCAGGACATCCTGGGGGCTGACTGCACACAGGGACAGGGATGGCCTCATCCCAAAGGTGCCCCAAAGCACCATCCAGCCCTGGTCAGGGGTCTAGGACCATGTGATGTGCCCGATGGAGGGTGGGCCACAGCACAGGGGACACATGGCCTGAGGCCCCACAGATTCTCACCCGGTGGAAAGGACAGTCAACACCATCCTGAGGGAAAGACGCAGGTTCCCTTGAAGGGTTCCGTCCTCACCCCACCTCTGGAAGCACACTCCCCGCCAGCCCAGCAGGGACAGCTCTGTGCCCACCCTGATGCTGGGGCTGAGTGCCCGGGTCACCGTGGTGTCCAGGTGAGACCAGGCTCCAGGGACCTGAGCCCGGTGTGAAGGCAGAGAGATGTGTGTGTAGACGGAAGAGGGAGCCAGAGGGCTTGGGGGTCAGGACGGGGCAGGGGAGCCTGTGGACGGGGGACATAGCTGGGGACAGGGTCCAGGGACCTGGGGCAAACCTGAGGGCAGAGCAGAGACCTCCTCACCTTTCACCACCAGCTCCAGGGGCTCACTGGGCTCAGACCAGTTACTACCTGTTCGATAGAGGCACTGATAATGCTGGGCAGTGTCTCCACTCACAGCGGTGATGCCGAATCTGGCCTCTGTCTGGTGTGGACCAATTTGAGACACAGCTTTCTCATCCTTGAAGTCTCTCCTATTTCCCTTCCTCTCCAGACGGAATTCCTCAGCCCCAGCAGGGCCCCTGCACACAATGGTCACAGGCCACCTCTGGGGGCTTACAGAGTCCGGCTCAGCCCTGGTGGAGCGACTGGGCAGGGTCCCTGGGATGGGTAAGAGCAGAATCTCAGCATCCATTACGTGAAAATCGTCCCATCACAGAATTCACTCATTTTTGTTGCTCAGTTCAGTACATTTTTTTTAACTTGCAAAGTTGTACAACCATCACCACAATACAATTTCATTTTATATTTTATTTTGGCTGCACTGCATGTGAGATCTTAGTTCCCCAACAAGGGATCAAACCCACACCCCCTGCATTGGAAGCATTCAGTCTTGACCACTGGACCACCAGGGAAGTCACACAATCCAATTTTAGACCATTTTCATCATCCTCCCCCGAAAGACCTCCCCACGTCCATTCTATGAGCCTCTAAATTCCCATCACTGCGGAGTGATTTTCCCCACTTGACTTAAGGACCCTGAGACTTGGTCACATCTTGCTCAGGGTGACGTGGGAGGTGTCAGAGCAGGCTGGGCCCCCGGGCATGTCTGCTGCAGGGGGCGGCTCCCTCCCTGCCCACGGCCACTCTAGGGGGAAAGAGAGAGCTGGGAGGGTGGCACAGGATGGGAATGACCGGGTCATTCCTGGGACAAGGAAAGCAGGAGTCTGGAGTCGGTAGGAATGATCTGGGCTGGTCTAAAGGGCAGCTGCCAGTCCCAGGTGGGATTGTGTGGGGTGAGGGATGCAGTCTACAGAGCGGCAGTGGAAGTGTGTGTGTGTGTGTGTGTGTGTGTGTGTGTGTGTAGGAGCTGGAGCACAGCTCTGATCCCACATTCCTCAGCAGGCGAGGATCTCTGTGTCCAATGCAAGTCTTCTGTGCTTTCATCCCTGGGTTTTCTCTGTATTTTTACCTTCGTCTCAGCTTATTTCCACTTCCTTGTTACTGAGGCTCTGGAAACCCCAAATGTCTCAACTAGGCTGGGGGCAGGGGGTAGAGCGGGTTTGTAGCCCTGAAACAGGAAGCTGGCCGCACATTCAGCAGAATCCCATAGAGGCAGGGGGTTGGCAGAGGTCACTCATTCACTCTTTCTTTCTTTCGACCACACCTTAGCTCTCATCTATCTGTTTACTGATGCCTCCATGTACCACTGGTTCCACAAACATGAGAAACAGCCAGGATGCCTGCCCTCTTGGGGCTGAAAGCCTAGAGAGAGGATAGCCATTGACAAATAATTGTGCAAATCCACTGGTACAGACGGTGATACGTGCCCTCGGGGTGAGTGTGGGAATCTCGGGGGCAGACGGGAGGCAGAGCTGCCGTCCTCTGGGAGGTCCGAGGGAAGAGGTATCTGAGCCGAGATCTGAGGTCAGGGATGAATTCCCCAGGCCGAGGGACAGGGGACACCGGGCATTCAGGGTGGTGAGGAGGTCTGGAGCTGAGTGGGAAGATGGCATTTAGAAAGGGAAAGAAAACCAAGGTAACTGAGATAAGTGAGCCAGACAGCATGGGGACAGACAGATCCAGACCAGAGAGAGATGCGTGGGTCTCGGTCTGTCTGAAAGTAAACTGTGAGAGGGCTTGAAGGAAGATTATGGTTTCTCTGAAGATAAATTATATACTATATAGATATTTAAAGTTTTCAAGTAAAACTTTTAAATGATCATTTAAAACCACATCACTGTGTGTTACAGTCTGTACGGGAGGATGGAGACGGTGGGATTGAGGATGATTCTGTCTGCCCTTGGCGAGGTCATGTTCTCTGCCCAGGGGCTGCCGAGGGAGATCTGGGCTTGGGTGGCGAGAACTCGTGGGTTCAGCCTGGTCTGTATGATCTGAATCGTCCCTGTGGGCCATCAAGAGCAGAGGGGGAGAACGCGGGAGAGACCTGGGCGAGGGTTATACATTGGGGGTTGTTTGCAATTCGGGGTGTGTGTCAGGGCCCCCAGGATCGGCTCCACTCTCACCTACGTCTGCCTGCGGGGTGCAGAGGGGATTGAGAAGACTCACCCGCCTGTGTGTGCATCGTGTGACCCAGACAGAGCGCTGGAAGAGAAGTTCTAGTGAGAGAGACGCCCACTGTACGGTTTCCTCATGGGGCTGCAGTCAAGCGGGGGCCTTGAGGAGCCAGCGGGGTAGGGGGTGGTCATCGTCCCATACTTGCCCGACACCCCCGTCAACATTGCATCTGAGTACGAGCCCTCTCCTTGCTCTGAAATAGTCTCAAGACAAAACCCCAACCCCTCTTCCCAGCAGGTGTTCCTCCCTGCCCCCCAGCCCTTCTCAATCTGAACTCAACCCCATACCCAGGCACCATTTCCAGCACTGAACCTTCCGTGGTAAGACTTAGGTCTTGGCCAGAGCTGAGGGGGACCACTTTGCCCCGCTAGGGCCCCAGCATCTTCTCGGCTGGAGTCGGGATAGAGCTGGGAAGCAGAGCCCCTCTGCCCCTGGATTCCTACCCCTCCATTCCAGGACTCACCCAGGCCCAGGAGGGTGGTGGGACGGGGGGACATGGCGCAGCCTCTGCCCCCGGCACCGTCCTGGAGTTTGTGAGTGAAGGACAGAGCCTGTGGGCGACACAAGAGAACAGGATGTGGTGGCTATGGCCCCTTTCTGGGGTTTCTACATCAATGGCCTCACACAAAGGGGAAGAGCTCTCTCTCCCCTCCCATCCACGCTTCCCACTAGCGAGACAGAGGTGGGGCCTGGCTTCCAAAAGATGTTTGTTCCCCCTGTGCCCTGATGAGGCTGAACTCATCTCTGGATGCACCCCTTGAGTCGGGAGCCTCATTCTCAATCTGTGGGGCAAGCAGAACGCAGATTTGTGCGGCAAACTGACTTGACTGTTGGTCCCAGCTCCACACGACAGCAATCTGTTCTTGGGCAAAGAGGTACACCACTTTATGCCAACATAAATATGCCTTGTGTTTAAAATGCGAAGCCCCAAATCCCCCTCCAAGTGTTTAATATTACAATATATGTTACATTCCCAGCAAGGTATTGAGCTCATTAAAAATATCTCACGAACGTGGGTTCTCTGCCTATCTTCCCAGAGTGGCATGGGAACGAGGGGAGGGGAGGCTGGTCCATCAGCACGTGCAAAATCCTAAAGGGATTGGATGATCAGGAGACAGACCTTGGGAGCTGGCCCTGGGCTTGGGATCCGGTGGGGTGCCCGGCTGGGTGCTGAAATAAAGAGCAGGACCAGGGATGGGGAGGGCGTTTGTGCACATGGAGCCCAGTAGGACAGGAGCCCCATCATGGAATCTCACATCCACTGCCCCTGAGGCCAGAGAAGAGCTGTTTCCCCCAGGGGTAGCTGTGCCAGACATTGATGTCTACACAGCAGCCGATGCTCACTTTTTCCTTATTAACAGAAACCTAGTTCTGTCTGAGTGGTTACGTTCCAACCCTGGAGCTGAGGGATGGGGGGAGTGCAGAGGATAAAATTTGGGTTAAGGCAATCCAGCAATCCCATTTGCAGTGATTGGTCCAGAGGGGGCACATGACCACGTATGGCCAATGATACTTAAAGCAGGATATATCAGGGTTTCTGGGAATCATATTTCTCTCTTAATAACAGAGGGTCTCATAAGACTTTTGCCTCCTTTTCTCCTGTCCACGGGCAGCTATATCATGATGATGTGATATCTGGAGCTGCAACAGCCATCTTGCAACCATGAGGCAACAAGCTTGACTACAATAGCAGAAATACTGAACAAACTGAGGGGAAAGAATGCAAGAACCAGGGTTCATAGAAGGTCCCCAAATGCTGAACCAGCCCTAGGACTGCCTATCCCTGGAATTCTTAATAAGTAAACAATAAATATACTAGATTTTCTGTCAAAATTTCAGACTAAATTTGTGGACCACGCTCCATTTTAAAATAATAATTATTTTAAAAACTAAAATTGCTTAATAGACTGTTTTAAAGGTCTTCTTAAATGCCTCAAAGAAATGAACACTAAGTGAAGGCTGTGTGGTCAAAAATTAAAGGAAGGCAAGATTCCCCAGAGTCAAGCTGAATGCTGAACATGGCTCTCACCTTGACAGTGATGCATTAAGTTTTATTTTCATGGCCTTGCAGATGGTAGAGGCCAAAGTCCAGGGGTCACCCTCGTTGATTAACACCAGCCAGCCCTATGTATCTGTGTCTTTCTGGTCTGTCTGTCTCTCTCTCTCTCTCTCTCTCATCTTCATTAGTGGCTTTTATCAGGTTTATTGAAGGATAATTCACAGACAACCAACTGTATCCATTAAATATGTGCAATTCATTGAGCTCTGGTAGTTGTGAAACCACCGTCATAGTCAAGATTTCCATTACCACCAAGATTCCTTGTTCCCTTTGTGAAAATAAGCAAAGTAACCTCCTTTAAAATGGAGTCGGGAAGCCCTGGAAGGGGAACTCTCAGGCATGTAGCCCCTGGTGCAGCCTGCACTCCCCGTAGGGAGAAGGAAGACGAGAATTATTTAGACAAGGGAGGACATTAATTACATGGGAATTTAATCCCCTGCTTTGAGAAAAAGAAGGAAGATCCTTCCATGCCCCAGCAACAATGCTCTAACCACTGCTTCCAGCCAATGAGAAAATGTCAAACGTCTAACTCTTGTTCTTCAGTGAATTTCTGTTCAAAACAATCCTTCCCCGTTTCCTCCTAAAACCCGATAAGAGGTGACCTCCCTTTTATCTCTTTAGACTTGCCTGTGATCCACCATAGCTGACCTGTCCCAAATAGCAATTTTCTGCTATTCCCGAATAAACCATTTTGCTGCTAAGGTAACTGGCTATTTTATTTTTATGGTCGATACTCTTTGGTTCCAGATGATCACTGCCAACCAAAGAATGTCACTTTCTATCTGGCTCTACAAGGATTGAGTCATTAGCCACTGGAGTTATTCACCTTCGACACACCCTGAAGGGTGTTCAAGGCAGGGATCTGGAGTGAGGCTCTCTGTGCTCTGGGAAAACTGGCAGAACAGGCCTTCAGAGAGTTAGATATTTTCAGGAGAAGATTTTATGAACCCAGTTTCTTGCATCATCTCGTACTTAGAAGAGCACTAAAGTCATTAACTAAGGTATCTGTTCCTCGTGAGTAGCAGCAACTTTCTACAGAGATGTGTGCTTGACGGCATGTACCCCTTCCCCAAAATCACATAGATGCTGATATCGGAGCAGTTCCTCAGAGCTCTCTGAGAGGCTGTTTCAAGGGCAACAGTCCTCAGTGTGTCCCCAAATAAAACAGAACCTCACAACTCTCACGGTGCATTTTGTGCATTTTTATTGCAGTCAACACCATTGATCTTTCTTTTCTTTTTAGAAAATATGTATCTGCTAACTTATTTTTTTATTGAGGTATAGTTGATTTACAATATGTGTTAGTTTCAGGCATACAGCAAAGTGATTTGTTTTTGTTTTTGTTTTTGTTTTTTCGGTACGCGGGCCTCTCACTGTTGTGGCCTCTCCTGTCACGGAGCACAGGCTCCGGACGCGCAGGCTCAGCGGCCATGGCTCACGGGCCCAGCCGCTCCGCGGCATGTGGGATCTTCCCGGACCGGG